CCTAGCAAGATTACTAACCTAGCAATCAGAAAACTTTGGTTTACCTCCCAGTTCTGTCACTTACCAGCTGTGCGACTTTGGAATAGAGGGACTAAGAACTGAACCTAGTAGTCACTTATCTCTGAGGCTGAGTTTCCTTATCTGTAGAACAAACAAACAAGCATTTATGAATCACATACTATATGGCAGACACTGGGCTAAAGGCTGGAGATAGCACCACAAGAATTAAACAGTTCCTGCCCTCAAGGAACTTTACATTCAATAGGAAGTGACAATCTTCATATGTATTAGTACATACAAGATGAATACAAAGTAATTTGAGGGGAAGGCAGCAGCTGAAAAGGCCTAAGGTAAGAAATTTCCTTGAGTTGATTTTAAGAGACCAGTAAGGAGGTGGGTAACCTATGCAAAGTCAGGGAGATTAGCAGGGGAATCTTGTGGGAGGAATAGGAAGAGGACCAATTGTTTAAAGCATAGATTTTGTGAAGGAGAGTGTTGTATAAGGCAGGAAAGGCAGGTTGGACTCAGGTGGTGAAAGGCTTTAAATGCCAAACAGAGGACTTTGTATTTACTTCTCGAAATAATGAGCCACCAAAATTCGTTAAATAGGGGAGTGACATGGTCACACCTATGCTTTAGGAATATCACTTTGGGGGCAGGTAGGTGGTGCCGTAGATAGAGCTCCAGCCCTGGAGTCAGGAAGACCTGAGTTCAAATTTGGCCTCAGACACTTGACACTAGCTGTGTGACCCTGGGCAAGTCACTTAACCCCATTGCTTAGCCCCCAAAAAAGAAAAAAAAAAACAGAAAAAGGAAGATGGAGGCAAGAATCTTGAGTCAGAGGGACCAAATAGGAGCCTCTTGTGATGGTTCAGATGAGAAGTGATGAAGGTCCGAATGAGGGTGGTTGTGAATATGCAAGAGATGTGGAGGTACCACCAGCAAAACTTGGAAACTGATTGGGTATGGGAGAGTGAAGAGTGAAAGGTAACTCCAGTGTTGTGAACCAGCATAACTGGAGGGATTGTGGTTCCCTCACAGAAAGCGGGAAGTTCAGTAGAGGGATTGAGGGAAAAGATAACAAATGTTGTTTTGGAGATAATGAATTGGAAATATACAATAGGCAGTTTATGATAAGAGACGAACTTAGGAGAAAAACTAGGTTATATCTGTAGATCTCTCAGAGTGAGCTTATTCTCGAGGGATTGATATGAGGAAAAAGCATTGTAAATGTAAATTGTCAACACTCCTTGAACTAAAGCCTCAGGTTGGTCCTGTGGCTGCCCAAAGTCTCCCATTATAGTCCTACATTCTAGCCTAACCTTCCGGGGCAACCATTTAAAAACTCCCAGTAACTCTTTATTTTTTTTTTTTATTTTTTGCTTTTTTGGTGAGGCAATCAGGATTAAGTGACTTGCCCAGGATCACACAGCTAGTGAGTGTCATGTGTCTGGGACTGGATTTGAACTCACGTTCTCCTGACTCCAAGGCCAGAGCTCTGTCTGCTGTGCCACCTAGCTTCCCCATCCAATAACTTTTTGATCAATATTTTGTTGCCTTAAAACTATTCGAAAGGTGGAAACGTAACACATCCCAATGTCCCGTTATCCCAGCTTTGGCTTGAACAAAGGGGCAATACTGAATCATGAGATTGCAACTTTCTGTTAACAAGATTCGGCCTATTTAATCCAAAACCTGACCTATTTCTTTAAAAGGGAGTAGCACTCCCCAAATTACTATTGGATGTGACCGGTTTGAATAATGGATACTCTAAGTCAAATAGGAAAGTCTATAATCTATAGAAAAATAGAAGGTTTTATCTCTAACTTTAGGGGGTGCTGAAGAGCAGGTTATAGAAGGAAAAGAAATATTACACATGGTCTAGCTAGGTTGTCCTTCTATAACCTGTTCTTCAGCATTCCATAAGGGTCACAGGAAAGGAAGGAAACAAGCATTTATTAAGTGCCTACTATATGCCAGGCACGGTGCTAAGCACTTATTAACTTACTTTATCATCACAACAACCCTGGGAGGCAGGCATTTTTATTATCTCCATTTTACTTTTGAGGAAACTGAGGCAGACAGAAATTAAGTGACTTGCCCAGGGTCACCCAACTAGCAAGTGTCTGAAGCCAGATTTGAATGCAGGTCTTCCTGACTTCAAGTTCAGTGCTCGATCCACTGTGTCAGCTGTCTGTCTCTGTTTTCTTGTACCCTGTATTCTTGAATTACTCCCCTGACTAAACATGATAAAAAGTCGAAAATCTCATTTTAATATTCCACAAAAGTTTTAGTCCTCAGTGACTTTTATAAACAGCTTCTTTTACAATTCAGTATCTTGCTGTTCTCAATTAATAGCTTCCTAATAGCATTTAACTTTTTGTCTTCAGTGTAACTTAATTTACTGTTGAATTATGGCCATTCTTAAATTTATGATGTTTCCTGGTAGAAGCCTGTAAAATAAAATGTGTAGATAAAAGATCATAGCTTGAGTGTTTTTGTCTAGCGTAGAGTTGCCACTGATCAATGGGGAGCAGATGGCTTAAGGACAGTTTGTGGGGTTGTGATTTTGTGGAGGAGTTTGCAGAAAGCCCCCATGTGAGCCCCTCCAATTCTTCTCTCCATTAGCCTAAGGGTCCCCAAAATTCCATAGAGAGTAATTTGATAAAGCTTCTGTTCCTGGATAAAGTACAAATTCCCCTAGGAAAAAATAACATATTTGTGTCTCAGTATGAATGAGCTGTCAGGGCTTTTCCTAAAGACTGATTTTGATAAGAGGAGTGGAAGCTCTTATTAGGAAATTAGGCACTCGGGGGTCAGGGGGCAGCACGGGTGCCAACCAGTGGATAAAAGTCAAAGTCAGGTAACAAGGAGGGCCTGGGAAAAGGTCCCAATTTGAACCTTGCTTAGGTCTTAATTTTATCTAAGTCTAGGGTTCATCCTTTAAACTCACTTCTGGGGAAGGGAAGGAAGGGTAGCATTCATTTTCTTTTTGTGGCATATAGTATATGAAGGGATGATTAAAGAAAATAAAAAAAAGTCACCAGCTTTACTTGTCATCTCCCCTGAGAGCAGAACAGTGGGCTT